TTTTTTAATTTATTTTCAGCATAACAGTATTCATTGTTTTTGTACCACACACAGTGCTCCATGCAATCCGTGCCCTCTCTAATACCCACCACCTGGTTCCTCCAACCTCCCACCCCCCCACCTCTTCAAACCCTTCAGATTGTTTTTCAGAGTCCATAGTCTCTCATTATTCACCTCCCCTTCCAATTTCCCCCAACTCCCTTCTCCTAACTCAGGGAGCACCTTATCTAACTTACACATGTTCATTCTTTGGCAGGGCTTCTCAATAAAGTTGTCTAAGGGTGGTGTGGGCTGCGGGCTGCTTTTGGAGACAGCAGAGTAACGTATGGCACCATATAAGATGAGAAGGAAAAATCACTTACGAAGAATCTGTGGAGAATTCGCAAACATGACTGAGCATTAGAATCACGTGGCAGGCTTGCGTCAACACGGACTTCTTGACCCCGCCCTCAGCGCTCCTCAGTAAGCAGGTCTGGGGAAGGGCCAGTGGGCTCCCCGGTGATGCCGATATTATACATGGGGGGCAGTGACAGAGGATAGTCCAGTGTCAAAGAGAGGTTATCTTTAAGTTCTTGGCCACCTCTCGAACGGTATGCTCCTATAAGTGCTGAGGACAATATTACTGAAATTGGGGTTTCCTCCTGAAACTTTTTCTGATGCCAGCCTTCCCCATTCCAGTAAATGGCTGTTCACCCAGTTACTTAAGGAAGAAACCTTGGCATTGCCCTCAATTTACCCTTCTTCTTTCACTCACCCCACACAGTCCATGAACCCTAGAGATCTCCCCACCAAGCCGTGTCCCAGGCCTGCTTCTTTGTCTCCACTGTCACTACCTAGTCCAGGCATTCAGTGGATTGTTAATGGGGACATTCCCCTAATTGTGGTCATGCTCTTACGGCTCCCACCTTAATTGATTTCACTGGGAGAGTCTGATTACCAAGGGCAAGAGGAGGTAAGTGGGTCATAGCCAATTCTTTCCCACCATGAGCGAATAGTTTGGAACATCATGATTCTGGCCCACAAAGGACAATAACTGTTTCTCCTCCCCCTCCTCCTCCCCCCCCTCCCCCCACCCCTCCTTTCTTTTCTATCTCTAGGGTCAGCACACTTTTCTGCAAAGGACCAGATAGTAAATAGTTTAGGCTTTGCAGGCTGTATGGTCTCTGTCATGCTACTGAAACTTGCTGTTGTAGCACAGAAACAACCAGTGAACAAATGGGCCTGGCTGTATTCCAGTAAAACTTCATTTACAAAAACAAGTGGTAGGCCAGAAATGGTCCACCCATAGGCCTTAGCTGGCCAGTCCCTGTCCTATACTGTGACTAAATCTCCTCCAGGACCCCCTACTTCCTGCCTTCACCCTTCTCCTATCCCTTCCCTACAAAGCAGGCAGAATGAGCTTTCAAACTCTAAGTTGGATTACATCACTTCCTGCATAAAGCCACCCAATGACTTTTAGCCCTAGAATGAAACCCAGAGGCCTCTATGGCCCCTGCCTGCTTTTCCTGCTCCTTCTTGAGACACTCTCCATCTCCTTCACTGGATTCCAGCTGCCCTGGCTTTCTTTCCAGTTTCCTGGACACTCCAGGCTCCTTCCCGCACGGGCTTTGCATGGCTTCTTCTCTCTGCCTGGATTGGTTTTGACTTTGCTTTCTGTGTGGCTAGTTATTTTTATTCTTCACATCTCCTCTTTAGAGGGGACTTCTATTCTGGACCTGCCCTCTTCCCCTTCCCCAGTAATGTCTAGATGAACACCATGTTTGCATCCCCATCACTTAACTGACCATGTGATTTGCCTGTCACGTACTCAGGCATGTGCCCTCCAGAAGGGCAGGAACTACATCTGCTCCATTCATCACTGTGCAGAATGGGACAGCACTTGGCATAAAGCAGGTACTTCCTATCACAGGCTGATTGAGTGAATGGGTATGTAAGGGATTAGTCCCAGAGACAAGAGGATACTTTTCGTTCTAGGAAGTGTTCGGTGACAGCTGCTCTGTGATAAGTCTTATCATGAGCCTGGCAAGAGAGCTAGGAGCTGCTGAAGATGTTCAGTCTGTACCCAGGAAGACTGACCCCATACAAATGGTGTAAACTGTGGGTAGCAAGAGTCCTGGGAAGGAAAAGTCAGGAAAGTATGGACTTTAGCATGACACTGGGGCTGGGGTCCTGGGGGAACAGGTCTTTCCTTGTCATGACACACCTACTGACATTGTAATGTACCTTCCAAAGACTGAGCATCCCTCCCCAGTGGAATGTCCCAAAATTATTTGGGTCATTGAGGGGAGCTGTAAATGTTGCAAGTGAGAAGTTGCTACTGGGACACATAGCTACACTTCTATTTTTTTTTCCAACTGTAACACAAAAATCAGATTTTTTTTCAGTCAAAAAAAAAAAAAAGTCCTCAAGGTTAAACCCTGAGCATCACCACTGCCACGTCACATTGTACACATCCCTCTAGCTCCCACCACAGGCCTGCCTTTCCTTGGATGCCCGTGGCCATGGGAACCTAAGACAGCTTCCCTGTGAAAGTGGCCATTGAACTTGCCGAAGGAGGAGATGGGGGCAGGCATGTCAACTAGGACATTGAATGACCTTTTTCATAAGAATTCCCCAACCAGGGAATGACAAGCCCTGGGACTCAAGGCCTGACTGGAAAGCAGTATAAACACTTTATAGCCCTTTCTGCATGGATTAGCATATTTGACTCTCCATCTCCCTCGAGATTAGAATCTCAAGTTCCCAGGAGATGAGCTTGAGTACCTGAGCTGAGAAAAGGGGCCAAGGGTAGTGCCTTATTAGAGAGCAGTGCTCAAGGCCCAAGGGGAGAGAGAGGAACTCACATGAGAGAATGAGGAGAGCATCTGGAGAAGCCACTGCAGAACTAGCCTAGTGTTTTAAGGAGGGAGAGGTTTGATGGGTTAAATCCTACAGAGGGCAAGTAGGATGAGCATGGAAACAGAGCTACTGGAGGGTGTTGGTGAATCTGGTGACAGCAAAATTGTCACTGGTTGGGGAGTTGGGAGAGAAAGCCAGGAGTGTGGTGGCAGCTCAGGGGTCAGATTACAGGTGACTGTAATCACCCTTTTGTCCTATGATGTGTCCCTGCTTCTGCAAGGAGCCTTGGATGGGCCATCTGGAGTATTAGTTCTAGTCCTGTTTGTGCTCCTGGCTGGGCTGATGGTGCTAACTCTCCAAGGACTCTTCTGGTGTCTATGCTCCACTGTTCTAGGGAGGCTGGGAGTGAGTGGAGTTGTGCGGATGAATAGTTTGTGGAATGGCGCAGAGCAAGGACAACCCTTGCTGCCCACAGGAGGCAGTGAGCTATTCTTTAGGCTGGTGAAGGGGCCATCTGGAATGACGGGTCTAGCACCCAGGACTAACAGGGCAGGTGGTAAGATAGGAAAGGTACTCTATTGCAACAAGCCCAGAGTGATTTCAGGTGGCAGGTGGCAGATGCCATCTAACCAGAGAAACACCAGGTGTGTGAGCAGATACAGTCTCCAAGATGACCCATGTGGTAGGACGTGGGACTCATCAGGAGTGTCTGAGCTAACTCACAGGTTGGACAAGTCAGGAAGGAGACTCTGAACACCAAGTGGGACATTGTAGTTGAGGGTTTGAGTTCTGTGAAGTGAGAAGGTGTGGAATCAGATGGGGGCAGTGAGAGGAAGTAGTAAGGAAGAGGGTGGAAATAAGGCCAGACTTGCTCTGTCCCTCTAACTTCCAAGAGTGGTCCCACTAGGCCTGTCCATTTTGGGGAGCCCAACATATGAATATCTCAGCTTACAGAACAGATGAGTGAAGGGCTGGTCTAAAACCAGGGTACTACATATCCCACATTACATTTTTATTATCCATGATTTCCTAAGACCTATTCAGTTCCAGCAAATGAAAACTCACCTGTGGTCTTGGAACCTCAGCCATACCCGACCAGCTGATGGGCATCCAGAGGATTGCCGGTCAGAGACGATGCAGATGCAGGAGATGGGACTCTAAACAGCAAGCCATTTAGAAGAAACTTCTTGGATAAAGTCAGAGGCTAAACATATTTACATGAGTAAAATCATGTTCTGCATTTAGTGATAACAACAACAAGGAATCCTTGCAAGGCTTCTGTAGCGAAGGGAAATTAGATGGCACCTGGATGTCAGAGATTGTTGCCAGCATATAACCTTCTTGAAGCCAGTTTCCATCATGTATAACAATATTTAAATTAACGTGGGTAGATCTAGAAATTATAGACATAGCCATTTCTCTTTGAATTAGTCTCTATCCTTTTATAAATAAAGATATATTAGCTTCATAACTTGGGAAGATACCTTCTTTTAAGACCATGTGTATTCACAAATACTGCTACATCAGTGGTAACAGCATATAGGATTAATCCTGTTAGTGGATGACTCACTGTCTCCCAAGATATCTCCAACCGGATGGTTCCTTACTGCACTAAAAAACCCCCTTTAATGCCCCACTCAAATGTTGCTTCCTTAACCAAGGTTGTTCTCTACTTTCCCCATCACCATTAGAATAAATCATATCCTTTTCTGTTCTCTCTCTGTGAGTCCCCACATTCTGCCCTGTGTTAGAGAAAATTGCTTGCCTAATTGTCCTATGAGGCCAAAAGTTCCTTGAAGTCAGGGAATTTGTTGTGTTCTCCACTGTTAACCTTCCTAGAACATATCAAATTCTCAGTACATTTTTTAAAATTTCTTTTCAACGTAACAGAATTCATTGTTTATTCACAACACCCAGTGCTCCATGCAATACGTGCCCTCCATATTACCCACCACCTGGCTCCCCCAACCTCCTTCTGTCTCCTTTTTAATAGAGGAAATGCAAGGTTTTCCATGCCAAATTGAATGAAGTCAAGATGCATGCAAGTAGAGAAACATTTCCCTTAGGTTGTCAAGGAAGGAGGATCCTGGGTTTTAGAAGCCCAGAAAGGGGAAGTCTTCTTTCTGTCTCTTTGAAAGATGCTTCTAGAAGCTTGGCTTTGCTTATCTGGAGCCCTGGAACTGGTTGGAAGAAGTCAGTGGCAAGTTCACTGGTTCTGGGATGACCCCTGGGTTTGCCACATAGACATTCGGGAGGACCACGCCCACCTGGAAAACACAGGTGCAAGGAGGTGCCCTAGTAAGGGTGTAAGAAGGACCAGGCAGGCAAGGAGGCCTTTACACCCTTCGAGACTTCTGCTCCTGGGCAGGAAGGGGAAGCATGGCGATCCCTCTAGACTCCACTCTCTTTGGGGCACCTTCCCGCCCACCGAGGAGCCTTTGGACTCACGTAGTTGTGTTGAGAGCAGACCAGTTGGCAGCCAAAGTGGGAAGAAACACAGGTTATACAGAACTCCAGGAGGCAGAAGATGAGCAGCACACTGGAAATAGCCACGCCGGGGCTCTGGAACCACAGGGAGTAGGTTGTTAGGAGGGCTAGTTTCAGCGTCCAAGGTCTGGCTCCAAGTGTGGCTCCGCGGTGGGCTGTCCCTATGGCTTTGAGGAAGTCCCCTAACCTCGTCTCACCAGGTTTTTGTGAGGGTCAAGTGTGTTGGTAAAAGAATTGTTACTTTAACACTACTGGTACTCCTCTAAGGGGAAGGGTAGTCATCCTTTAGGAAAACATCTCCGTCACGTGACTGGGAAGGAGAGGATGGGTTGCCAGGCAGTTGGAGGGACCGAGTGGACAAGGACTTGTCTGTGCTGTGCTCTCTTGTCAGTCCCAGGGTCACGAGTCTCGTGTAGCTGTTAGGCATTTGGGAGGTGGTTAGTCCCAAAGTGAGCTGTGCATGACACACAGGATTTCAAAGATCGAGTACCCCAAATGCAAAATATCAAACTGATCATTTTTTTAAAATACGGATTACGTGTTGAAATGACATTTTGGATATATTGGGTTAAATAAGATATATTATTAAAATTAATTTCACTTGCTTCTTTTTTTTTAAGGTGGTGACTAGAATATTTAAAATCAGACATGCAGCTCACATTATATTTCTACGGGTCAGCATAAGTTGGTACAATATTGTCCATGGGCCAAATCCTGGCTGCTGCCTATTTTCATAAATAAAGATTTATCAGAAAACCGCCATGCTCACTGCATATACTCACTGGGATCCAACTCAGGGCTGGAGTCGAAGGCAGATACCTATTTCCGATGGCTGCTCTCCCACTACAGGATAGGGATGAGTAGTTGTAACAGAAACCAGAGGGCCTGCAAAGCCTTAAATATTTATTCTCTGAATCTTTACAAAAAAACTTTCCTGACCCCTTGTGCACAGTCACAAGCAGGGGTGCAGTGGGAGGCATCTGTGTGTTATAATTGCATTTAATTTTGCCAATAATGTCATAGGTAGGTACTGTTTTATAAAGGTAGAAACTAAGACTAAGAAAAGTCACATGATTAAAGTAACACAGCAATAAAGCCATAGGTCAGGGACTTTACACTCTGTTCTGATTTTTTTCTACAGTGCTAGGTGAAGAAGTTTGGTTTTGGGCCTTCTAATAATTTGGTAAATGTAGCTAACTCGGAACTCAGAGGAACATTGGTTTAGAGGGGTACTCACCACACCCCAGGTGTAATTGTGGGGATAAGAGACAGAGTAGTTATCGGATGGGATGAGACTCAGATCTGTGATGAAGAATACGATTCCAACCACAGAACAGATTGCACTGATGATGTTCAAGCCCAAGCTGCCATTCAGCTGAAGAAGACACAGGGGTCAGGGTAGGAGAGGAAAATTATTGTAGCTGAGATGAATAGAGACTCAACAAGTGCTTCTTAATGTGAATCCCTAGAACTTCAGTTCTGTAGCAAGGAAAGAGTTGTTTTGTACAAAAAAGTGTGCAGGTAAATTAACGTTGGAAAAAAGCTGGGCTGAACTAAGTTAAATAGGTCTTTGCTGTAGGACTTGTCAGAGCCTTTAATAAGGATTATGGATCTTTTTAAAAATTTCATTTTTATTTATTTATTTATTTTTATTTTGTTTATTATTTATTCATTCATTTATTTAATTTATTATTTGAGAGAGAGAGAGAGAGAACACAAGCATAGGGGTGGGTCAGAGGGAGAAACATACTCCCTGCCAAGCAGGGAGCCTGATGTGACTCCGGGATCATGACCTGAGCTAAAGGCAGTCACTTAACCAACTGAGCCACCCAGATACCCCAGGATCATGGATCTTCCAGAGAGGGGACTACTAAATAGAGCTTTCCCCAATTTACCTACTCATTTTCACAGAGTGTTGCATGGGACAAGTGTCCCTAGGACAAATCTTTGGGAAACACTCAACCTGCTTATCCCATATGAGACAGATAGGATGCTCAGCCCCTGTGTCTTGGGATATGACAGGCTCTGATACTCTATGATTCTGGGCCACGTGCAGAAGGACATGCCCAGAATTTAGAGCTTCCCTTTGGAGATTTTCAGATAGATCTCCTGTGGTAGAGGGACCTGGCCTCCTGAGGCCGTTCACCCTAGACAACCTGCTTGTGAAAGAAACAAAGATACTTTCTTGGTCTGTGCCTAGGGGACCTTGTTTCTGTGATTAGCAGAGCTCACTTGGCTGGATTTCTTCGGGAAGCAGGTAGTTGAGCTTCCCCTGGCTTCCCTGCAGGAATGGCTGGAGGCCTACGCTGTGTGCCACAGGCCCTATCAGTGCCTGCTCTGTTGGAGTGGAGCCAGGACCCCTAGGAGCTTTGTGTCTCCTCCTGTAGGCACCTCTTAGGGACACTGTTCTGTCTCTACCTTAATTCAGGTGGCTGTGTTGCCTTTCCCTCCCCAGAATCCTCTGGGCTCCTTCCTATCATGACTCTGGCCAGGTTTTTGTAGTCCTGCCTGTGAGTATGAGTGAGCACGTGTATCAGTGCCCTGAGTCTGGTTAGATGTAGGGATGAGGGAGGGATTGTGTGTTAACCTTTTTTTCCCCAGAGGGTGTCTCCTGTAGGCCTCTACTGGCAGAGCCTGTGTCAGGAGGTGACTTACCAGGCAAGAAGATTGTGGCTGATTTTCTGCTGACACCGAGAGGGATCCTGAAACAATGAACTGGTACAGAAGAGGGGGTTTTAGAAAGATGCCCCAGATTGCATCCCATCTTCCAGCTCCCAGGATTCTGGTCACACACATTCCCTCATACATACTAGGTTCCTGTGCTGGGGCCTTCAAGTCAACATGGAGGGAGGAAGGAAGGAAGGGAGGGAGGGTGGGAGGGATGGATGGAGGAAGGAAGGAAAGAGGGGAGAGAGGGAGGGAGGAAAGAAGGAATGGAGGGAGGGAGGGAAGGAAGGACAGGAAGGGGAAGGAGAGGCAGACTCCCCACTGAGCAGAGAGCCCACCTCAGGGCTGGATCCCAGGACGCTGAGATCATGACCTGAGTTGAAGGCAGACACCTAAACAACTGACCCACCCAGGCATCCCCAGACCCTATGTTCTTAACCCTTACCCCACATACCCTCCCACTCAAGGTAGATGCATGTGTCATGGGGTGGAAACAGTTTTACAATGAAAAGTTACTCTAGCTTCTTATGACTTTTAAAGAGAATGGTATTTTTTCCTGTATGTGGGAAAATAAATCTCATTCTTAAACCCCTTAGTATATAGAGACTTGATAAGGAGGGAAGGGAACAAGGGGCTGGCCTTCTGAGGTCCCTTCGGATACTTTTAAGATGCCAGAGGAGATGGGTCTTTGTTTTGGAAGAGGACATTAATGATCTTTAGGGAATACATAGTCCTGGAGTCAAAACAGCAACCAGGATCAAAACTGCCTGCAGATATGAGGAGGGGGGATGGTCATGAGAGCTGGTCAACCTGGCAGAAAGGAAGATGTCTGGGCAACAGTACTCAGTTGCATCTAATGCTCAATAGCAAGCCATTCTGTGGCCATGGTGTTAGCCTCTCCATTGCCCCAAACTCCATGAAAATGCGTTATATAGATGCAGCACTCGGGGAGAGGAATAGGGGCTGAGTTCCAACTCTGGGTCCATGCACAGCAGAAGAGGATCACAGCCTCAGTAAATGAGACCCAGATGGAAACAAGAAAGAGCAGGTACTCAGAGAAAGATCCTCCCAAGAACATGAGCCTTGCCATTTTGCAGGTGTTTTGTTGGTACGGGGGTGGGGAGGGGATAACATTAGGCTATCTTATTTAAATGATTTAAATGTCATGGGATAAGGGGGGGACTTTCCTTATCTAGATTACTCTGGAGTTTTGCTATTTAAGAGAAAAGTTGTATTTGAATCATAGATAGGTGTGTGAGTCCAGAGACAAAGACTATGTAACAACAGAGAGAAAAAGGACATGGGAGGGAAGAGAGGGAGGAGAAGGAAGGACAGAGAGAGAGAGAGAGAGAGAGAGAGAGAGAGAGTGTGTGTGTGTGTGTGCGCACGCACACACAGAGGACACTAAGGGAGAATGCAAAAGAATCAAACAGACAGTAAATTGGAGAAGAGAAAGGATCTGTGGTTTTTTTTTTTTTTTAAAGATTTTATTTATTTATTTGACAGAGAGAGATCACAAGTAGATGGAGAGGCAGGCAGAGAGAGAGAGAGAGAGAGAGGAGGAAGCAGGCTCCCCACTGAGCAGAGAGCCCGATGCGGGACTCGATCCCAGGACCCTGAGATCATGACCTGAGCCGAAGGCAGCGGCTCAACCCACTGAGCCACCCAGGCGCTCGGATCTGTGGTTTTTAACATTTTATGGGGTCATAGGTCACCCTGAGAATCTGATGAAAGCTATGGACTTTTCCAGGAAAAAAAATACACATCTAGCACACCAAATATTTTGCCAGAATGGAGACTCTGAAGCCCATCTGTGGACTCCAGGTTGAGTCCCCCTTGTTTAATGACTGTTCTGTGTCTCAGTAGTCACTCTCAGCCATTGGTGGAAGTGTTCTTCTCCTGGAGCTCAGGCTGTGGGCTTATGTTGAACAACACTTGAAGGCTATTACCAATACATCCTTTTACACATTGGCACTGTTGTATGAATTGGAAAAAGGTGCCACCCCTGGGTTGATGAATGAGAAGAAAGTTCCCTGACCCCTGGGGTGAACCAATTAGAAAATGCGCCCACTCTGGGTGAATGACACCTTGTTGGGCTGTCACTTGGTGTTATGGCTGAATTGTGTCCTCTCAGAATTAATCTGTTGAAGTCCTAACCCTCCAGTATTTCAGAATATGACTATGTTTGGTGATGGGGCCTTTAAAGATGTGACTAATTCTCTGTGAGATCATTAGGTGGCCCTAATTCAATATGAGTGGTGTTTTCATGTGAAGAGGGGATTAGGACACAGATACACTGAAACCACATGAAGACGGAGGGAGAAGGCGGTTGTCTGCAAGCCAAGGAGAGAGGCCTCAGAAGAAACAACCCTGGCGACACCTTGATCTTAGACTTTCAGCCCCCGAACTGTGAAAGAATGCATTTCTGTTGGGTAGGCCACCTAATCTGTGCTGTTGGTCACAGCAGCTCTAGCAAACTAACATGCCTGGTAAGCAAGGCCTGGGCCAGCTTCACACCTTGCTTGTTCTCTTGACTGGGAACCTGCTGTGGAGTACAAGCCACACAAATTGACAAGATGGCCCTGAGTGTGTTGGCACTTTCTGGGAATTCACTCGCCTGGTGGGGTGACCCGTTACTTACCCAGATGCCTCCCCAGAAGGGAAAGCCTCCAAAGAGTGAGATAGCTGTGTAGCCCCCAGAGACGACGGTGACCATGACGGAGCCAAGGCCGATGTGTATCAGGCCAATAAGGATCTGGGCAGCCTGTCAGGAGAGCCAAAATCTGAAGCCTTTGTTTCTGGGGTGGGATCCTGTCTCCCCTTTGTACCTCCTTTTTATTTTAATAAATCTTACATTTTCCTAGTCTAAAAAGTCATATGAAAGATATAAAAATGAAATAAAACATCCATAATTACCTTATATTCAGAGAAAACATCCCCCTTACATTTTGGTGTATAACTTTCCTTTATTCTTTACAAGTGTATATAACAATACCACAAGATGGTCCTGGGAGGGAGAGGGAAGATGGCAGAAGAGTGGGGGACTTGCATTTCATCTACCTTGAATTCAGCTAGATATTTATCAAATCATTCTGAACACCCGTGAATTCAACCTGAGATCTAAGAAAAGAATTGCTTCAATTCTACAAATAGAAAAGCAACCACTTTTTGCAAGGTAGGAGGTGTGGAGAAGTGAATCTGAGGGGATATATTGGAAGATTAAATGACAGGAGGAGAGAACCTGTGTAAGTTGGCTATGGGAAAGTGATATTGCAGTGGAGCACGAGATCAGAACTTCCAGAAGTCTGCTCTTGTAAGGGACATCACTACCTTGAAAGGTGCTCAGGTGGTGAAGTGGGGCAGAATCCTAGGTGGGACCATGTGGTCTCAGGATCTCCAGGGTTACAGAAAGACTGGGGGTACCCAAGAGCAGCAGAGTTCCCAAGCACTGGAGTGGGAGCCTGGCTACAATCAGTGAGCCCATGAGTGGTCTCTGAGCTCAGTGTTGCCATAGATCTTGAGCCACGACATGATCGGGTGACTGCTCTCCAAGCCAGGGCCCAGCAAGCAACAACTTCTGGGAGATCCTGCCATGACCAGGCAACTGCTCCTGGAGCAGGGGCCCAGAAGGTAGCAGCACCTTAGTGAGACCCCCTTCCTCCCCTTGGAGGATTGGTGTAGGTGTGCCCTGTAGGAGTCTATGGAGTTTGGCACACACAAAAAGGATTGACTGCTTTCCCCTAAGGGTGCCCTGGAGAGTGGGGACAGCGATCATTTAGCTCCAGGGCTGGAGTTTGGGGCACCACCATTTTTTTCATCCTCTAAAATGGCATGAAAAACCTTAAGGGAACAAAAGTCACATAGAGCAACCCCCAGCTGCTTACAATGAGCCTGGCTCCCTGGCAAGGGATGGGACAACTCTGCCCAAGCAAAGACACCCAAGAATCAGTGCAATGGGTACCTCCCCCAGAAGATAAGCAGAATCTCAGGTGAATACCAAGTTTACAGAACACACAGGACTAAGAAACTCTTGTCCTAGGGGAAAATAGTATACAGAATTTGAGGTTTTTTCTCAGGAGTCTTTAGTCTTTCAGTTTAAAATATTCTTTTCCTTTTTTCTTTTTTTTTCCTTTTTCAACTAGATTCTTATTCTATTGACTCTTTGTTTTTAGGCATTTCTATAATTTTCATGTCTACATTTAATTTTATAGATATATTCTTCATTTTTGGTTTCCTTTCACTGTATTCAATTTTATTTTTTGTAGCTATATCAGTTTTGCTTTCTTCACAAGTTTGGGATTTAGTGTCTTCTAACAAACAGACCAAAATACACTCAGGACCAAGTAGATCACCCTGTTTTGTCCAGCTGTGAGGTTATATTTCTCTCCCCCATCTTTTTTCTTTTCTTTCTTGGTTTCTGACATCTTCAGATTTGTCTAGTGTGTATTTTGCTGGGGTTGTTGTGATATTTTTAATTTTGTTCTCTTGTTCATTTATTCTTCTCTGGACAAAATGACTAGAGGGAGAAATTCACAACAAAAGGAAGAATCAGAGGTAATACTCTGTCATAGATCTAATCGATATGGATATAAGTAAAATGTCAGAACTAGAATTCAGTATAATGACTATAAAGTTACTATCTGGGCTTGAAAAAAGCATGAAAGACACTAGAGAATCTCTTAGTCCAGAAGTATCAGGCCAAAATTAAAAATGCTTTAACTGAGATGCAGTCTAAAATGGATGTTCTAACAGCTAGGTAAATGAGGCAGGAGAGAGTCAGTGACATAGAAGACAAAATAATGGAAAGGAAGGAAGCTGAGGAAAAGAGAGAAAAACAACTAATGGACCATGATGGAGGCTTCAATAAATCAGTGATACCACAAAGTAAAACAATATTAGAATTATTGGTGTCCCAGAGAATGAAGAGAGAGAGGGGCAGAAGCTATTTTATGGGAAATCATAGCTGAGAACTTTCGCAATCTGGGGAAGGAAACAGGCATTTAGTCCAGGAGGCACAGAGAACTCCCTTCAAAATCAATAAAAATAGATCAACATACAATAGTGAAGTTTTCAAATTTCAGACATAAAGAGCTTGGTATGCCCACTTTTTTCCAGAGGCCACATGAATCAACGTGGACACTGGCAAAAGGACCAACATTCAAAACAGATGACTACAGGGGAAGGGAAGGAAAAAAATAAAATAAGATGAAAATAGAGAGGGAGGCAAACCATAAGAGATGCTTAACTCTAGGGAACGAACTGAAGGTTGCTGGAGGGGGAATGGGTGGGGGGAAGGGATAGTTGAGTGATAGGCATAAAGGAGGCAGGTGATGTAATGAGCACTGGGTGTTATATGCAACTGATGAATGTCTAAACTCTACCCCTGAAACCAATAATACAGTATATGTTAACTAAATTGAATATAAATAAAGAATAAAGAAAGGTAAACCCATGCCCTTTACCTCTCATCCTTCCCCCATTCAGTCTCCCCTTGGCATAGCCATCCCCAACTGTTAATCTACTTTCCCTTTATATGGATTTGGCTATTCTGATGATTTAATATAAATAGAATTTAAAAAAAGGACCAACATTCAAGTTTACTGCTTTTTTGGTTGTTGTTACCTTTCTTCCTCTTTCTTAAAATGCCTAAGGCAGAGAATCCAAGGCCCCATACTGAGACCCTGGTGATGTTGCACAGCTGAGATTTCTGGTAGACCCGAGTTTAGCAAGCCTGGGTCAGCTCCAACCCTGCTTGCTGGATTTGGAGTTTCTGTATTTCCAAGCCCCCCCCGCCCGCCCCTGGCCCCCTTCTAACGCCAGCCAGTGACCTGTCCCTGCAGAGCAAAATCTCACTTACTCCTAAGGTTTTGGCCTCCTTGAAGGCTCTCTGGACAGGCTGCTCACTCCCAGGTAGCTTCAAACCTGGTGGGTTCACAGGAAGTAGGTGTACTTGGGGCTGGTTGCTTGGAGACAGGGCCACCTGACACATTACTTGCTGGGTCACAGGATAGCCGTTGTGGGGTGCCACTGCTAACCTGGAATTGTCCAGGGGTCCTGCTGAAGCCATCGGATTCATGCTGCTGAAACACAAATGTGACAGACTTGTCTCTCACACAGGCACTGATGTTTACACTGAAAAAGGCCTTTTGCTTCCAGTAGCTCACCTGAGCATCTTAACCCACTTATTAATGCCATTTGTTAATCTCATTTTAGAGATACTATGATGTGCCAGTTATGGGACAATTATGAAGTGCCAGGCAGTCAGGGCTTTACAAACACATCTTTTCATCCTCACACCGGACCAGCTTTACAGGCGAGAAAATGAAGTCTCAAAGAAGCCAAACTCTGCCAGAAGTTTTTCTTTGTCTTTCCCATTTTTGAATCTCTCATAGTACCTAGCATGGTACTGTGCACATAGTAATACCATCTGATTACAAAACTTCAGAGGTGGAGAGGCTCTTGGAGCACACTGAGTCCAATTCTCTCAATTTCTAGAAAGGGAAGCTGAGGCTGGGAGACTGGACATGAATTCATTAAAGTCTCAGTCACATAAATATTAGTCAGGTGGAGATCCTCCTCTTCAGGAGAAGTCCTGCAGCTAGTGCATGCTTATTTACCAGGTGGCCAATTTTCTAGGCTACTTATGAATTCTGGTCTGATTTTTAAAATTTCTTTTCTTTTTTGGAGCAGACCCTACAAAAGTTCGTGCAATAAACCCTACCACGTCCTGCGCCCCACACCCAGATTCATCATGTCTCATTTGGCTGAAAAATCTTCATAAAAACCATTAGAGTGTATATACTCACTTTGCTCTGCCAGCTGCTAAGGCTCTCTTGTTCTTGTTCCCAATTCTTTGCTGTAGGCAACCTGATTTCCTGAAAGAGTGAGCAAACGTGGCTGAGTTGGGTTATATGTTCAGAAAGAGCCAAAGTCCTTTCACTTTCTCCTAGGTGCGGCCAGGTCACCAGCTGCTTAGAGCTCAGCTTCCCTCTCTATATTTGCTTTCTGTTTTGGCCAAGGAACCAACTGAATGCAATTCCATTGGGCAAATGTTTAATGGTATCTGTGTGGAGAAGAAAGGGTTGTGTCTGATGCTCTGGGAGACAAGGAAAGAACTGGGCACTCAGGGGTAATGGACATGGCTGTGGCACAAGACAGAATGACATAAATGCTACAGTTAGAGAAACAAAGGTCCCCAAAGAAGAGGAGAAACTGATTTGCTGGATTTGAAGAAAACAGGGAAGACTTTGAACAGAAGGTGGAATTTTGAAATCTATAAGCTGCAGGGGGAAAAGGGAGTCAGAGCATATGCGAAATGAGGTTTGCAATTAACTTGTCTGCTTTTATCTACACCAGAGCCTGTAGGAAATCAGAAAAACCTGTGATGTATCCATGGTGTATGTCATGTGAATTACACAGACAAAATGAACAAGAACTGCCAGGCTTGGCAATGAGTATCTTGATGGAATAGCTCATCGCATTCACCTTTGTATTCCTACTGGCATATAATAGGCATTAACAGATGTTTATCGAGGGGCGCCTGGGTGACTCAGTTGGTTAAGTCTCTGCCTTTGGCTCAGGGTCATGATCTCAGGGTCCTGGAATCGAGCCCCGCGTCGGGCTCTCTGCTCAGCAGGGAGCCTGCTTCCTCTTCTCTCTCTCTCTGCCTGCTTTTCTGCCTACTTGTGATCTCTCTCTGTCAAATAAATAAATAAAATCTTAAAACAACAACAACACCCCCCCCCACCCCCGCAGATGCTTACCGAGTAAAAAATTAAGTTGATGGGATGGCTAGAACTTTGTAAAATGGTCAACAGAAAGGACACTATTGCAGGCAGAGGGTATGGAGGGCAAAGGATGGAGGAGAGAGATAGAGGACATATTTTGGGTATGATTGAGAGTGGCAGAGCATTTTGTGGGAGAAGACATTGAAAGTCATAAGGATGAGAGAGTAGATGGAGTTGATCTACATGTCTTTACCCATTTTTCTATCAGATTTCTGGAACCTTGTCTTTTAATTTTCAATAGTCCTTTATGTATCAGGGATATTAACTCTTCATCTGGGAATATCTTTTCTCCAAGTCTGACAACTGTATTTTGACTTGGTTTATGGTGGTTTTTAATTACGTAAATTAAAAAAATGTATGTAGTAAAATTTATCAACCCTTTTTTAACCTCTACAGATGGAATGTTTGTATCCCTCTCCTGTCCTCCAATTCGTATATTGAAATGTAACTCCCTAAGTGATGATATTTGGAGGCGGGGCCTTTGGGAAGTGATTAGGGTGGAGCCCTCATGAGTGGGATTTGTACTTCCTGTTCCTGTCGTGTAGGGGATTAGTACCTTATAACCTCAGAGAGCGCTCTAGCTCCTCTGCCATGTGAACACACAGTGAGATGGGCCATCTATGAACCAGAAAGCGGGTTTTCCCAAACGCTAAATCTGCAGGTGCCTTATATAGGACTTCCTAGTCTCCAAATCATGAGAAATAAATACATGTTGGTCAAGCCACCCAGTCTACGGTATTTTTGTTACAGCAGCCAGAGCAAGGTAAGAAAATGACCTATGGAATTGAGTTTTTTATTAGAAAGCCTTCCCAACATTAAGATTAAATAGGGATTCACCCGTGTTTTCTTCTAGCACTTGAATGGTTTAATTAAAAAACAAACACCTCTCATTAGATAATCCAAATAGGCTTTATTTTACCCTCTGACAGTTAAGTGTTTGGTGTCAAAGTACATTTTTCCTATCAAATTGCGTCTTTCCCCCAAACTATCAATTTTGTTTTTATGAATAGTGCAGTATGTGATTCAGCTTTCTACATTTTCTTTTTTAATTTCAATTAAATTTTTAACATAGAGAACATCATTAGTTTCAGATATAGAGTTCAGTAATTCATCAGTTACATATAATCCCCAGTGCTCATCACATCATGTGCCCTCCTTAACGCCCATCACCCAGTTACCCCATCCCCTCACCCACCTCTCCTCCAGCAACCCCGTTTCTTTCATATAGTTAAGAGTCTCTAATGGTTTTCTTCTTCTCTGATTTCTTTCCATTCTGTTTTTCCCTCCCTTCCCCTATAATCTTCTGCACTCTTTCTTATATTCTTCATATGGTTGAAACCATGTGATAATTGTCTTTCTCTGATTGATTTATTTCACTCAACATAATACCCTCCAGTTCATCTACTTCAGTGCAAATGGTAAGATTTCATCCTTTCTGATGGCTGAGTAATATCCCACTGTAAATATATACACCACATCTTCTTTATCCATTTATCTGTTGAAGGACATCTGGGCTCTTTCCACAGTTTGGCCATTGTGGACAATGCTTCTTTAAACATTGGGGTGCAGGTACCCCTTAAGATCTCTACATTTGTATCTTTGGGGTAAATATCTAGTAGGGCTATTACTGGGTCATAGAGTAGCTCTATTTTTAATTAATTAATTAATTAATTAATTTTTATTAGTTCAATTAGCCAATATATAGTACATCATTAGTTTTTGATGTAGTGTTCAATGATACATTAGTTGCATATAACACCCAGTGCTCATCACCTCATGTGCCCTCCTTAATATCCATCACCCGGTAGGAAAAGATAGTGAATGAATTACCTTCCCCTATCTACCTAGAGAGAACTGAGTATCCTTAAAAGATTGTCTCTTTAGGCTAGCATTTACCCTGACACAAAACCAGATAAAGATACTACAATAAAAGGGAACTACAGGCCAATATCTATGATAAACATAGATCCAAAAATCCTCAACAAAACATTAGCAAACTGAATCCAACAATAATTTAAAAAATCATTCACATATTCAAGTGGGATTTATTCCAGGCGCAAGTGTGGTTGAATATTTGCAAATGAATCAGTGTGATACATCACATCAACAAGAGAAAGAATAAGGACCATATGCTCATTTCAATGGCTGCATTAAAGAAATGCAAATCAAAATCACAATGAGATACTGCCTCACACCTGTCAGAATGACTAAAATAAAAAAAACACAAGAAACAGTAAGTATTGGTGAAGATGTGGAGAAAAAAGGAACTCTCGTGCACTGTTGGTGGGAATGTAAGCTGGTGCAGCCACTGTGGAAGACAGTACATAGATTCCCCAAAAAACTAAAAATAGAATTAGCATGTGATCTTATAATTCCACTACTGGGTATTTACCCAAAGAATATGAGAACACTGGGGCATCTGGCTGGATATGTCAGAAGAGTGGGTGACTTTTGATCTCAGGGTCATAAGTTCAACCCCACGTGGGGTATAGAGATTACTTAAAAAAAATAAACTTAAGAAAAAAAGAATATGAAAACACTAATTTGAAAGGATATGTGCACCTCTATGTTTATTGCTGCATTATTTTACAATATTTTTACATTATTTTACAATAGCCAAACTATGGAACCCAGTTGTCCATCCATAGATGAATGGATGAAGATGTGGTATATACATATGCAATGGAATATTACTCAGCCATAAAAAAGAATGAGATCTTGCCATTTGCAACAACATGGATAGGATCTGAAGGGTATAATACTAAGTGAAATAAGTCAGTCAGAGAAAGACAAATCCCATATGATTTCACTCATATGTGGAATTTAAGACACAGAACAAAGGAACAAATATAAATATAGAGAACTGGTGGTTGCCAGAAGGGAGGTGGCTCCAGGGAGGGGAGGGAGATGGTTGAAACAGGTGAAGGGGATTAAGAGTATACTCATCATAATGAGCACTAAGTAATGTATAGAATTTGTGAATTACTATATTGTATTCCTGAAACGAATATAGAATTACACTAAATATATCTATATTATGTATGCTGGAATAAAAAAAATAAAAAAAATAAAAGATTCAGTCTCCTTACGCTGATCCTACCCATTCTGGGTATGCTGATATCTTTTGTGTATCGTTGTGCATACTTTTGTGCATTGTTGGATCATATGGGGTCCCAAAAGAAAACAAACAGCAGTCTTAAAGTGTTCAGTTGTATATTAATGAAGAGACTATTTACAGAAATGTGGGCATAGTTATGGGGAACAAAAGGGGATGTTGACACACTTGGGA